AACGCAGCATCCACTACAATCCGCTCCACGAGAAAAAGCAGCAATGATGACGGTGGCAACAAAAAAAAAAAAACACAAAGACAACGCCTCAGCCATGTGGCCACGCAACAAACACGTACCAATGCCACCACCACCAGCACCATCCCAAATGCGATCCCTTCCACCTCCCAGACACACCGCAGTGCTCGTTGAGGCAAAGCAACACGGGGAGTCTCGGGGAGAAACATGCGCCTGTTTCACTCACTGTAGAAGACACGTACTTCTGCATCCACCACCCCCACCTGGCACCGACGTCCCTTCCTCAGCCCAAATTCCGCAACAGCCACCGCCTCCTCCCTACACTCACCCTCAGTAGGGTGTTCAACCGCGCCGCATCTCTGCCAGCCACCCATCAGCACTCTGTCTGCGTGCTGCACATAAATAATCTCCCACAACATTTCTCGAAATAACTCCTCCCAACCATTAAATTATGCCGCCAGACGCTCCTTAAGGTGCCTCACAGTGCCGGCGGTGGTGTTATGCTCACCCGCCGTAGCCATCCGCAGCCCAACCAGCGTCTTCGGATTTGACTTCACAAAGAAAAAGACGTCCACCAGCGGAAAGTTTGTGGCCCACGGTGTGTACAGCACCCCGCACTCTACATCAGTCTTCTGGTAACGGTGTTCCACAGACGGAAAAAATCGTGCCTGGTGGAGCCCTCCTGTGAGTACACTTCCGGCGCACAGCGGTGTCACTCACGTCGTGTTGGTGGCCTCAGCCCCTCCAGTTTGAGTCCTACTGCAGCCATGGAATCCCCATTAAAAAATGCAAACACGGTGTAGTTCCCCAAACTTTTTGGTATGAAATAATCCCTGATCCTCGATACAAATAAATTAAAATCAGCCTGCGGTATTAACTTTGCCAACATGCACAATGTTTTACTCACGAGGTGGGCAGACATCGGTGCATTGAAAGGCAATTCGCCATTGCGCTCTCTCGTTGTACTCAGACGGTATCCACAAGCCTGTGGGACACGTTATTAACATCTCACATTTTATTAGATCCCAAAGTAAGGCAATATTTGGTATCCAAAGCGGTCATATTATCAACTGTACTGTTGCAAACCCCAATCCGACCACCAGATCATCGCTTATCAAAGGTGTAGCAAAGAAGCAGTCCCACCCTATCCATGCAACCCTCACCTCCCTCCAGTACTCTGCCTGCTTACCAAAAGGCTGGTCACGCTTCATCCAAACACACAACGCCTTCACGTCCTTTTCTTCCGGGTAATTCATTACAGTTCTTACGGTTGTCCCTTGGTTGTACCATTCCTTAAAGTTACCCTCGTTCGGTGTTGTTACCATAACCATGCCTCATTCATGAGGAAGCCGCATCCTAGACGGATTACGACCCTTCTTTGCCGCGCAGTAGACAACATACCCCTTCACCCCACGCCAAGAAAAACTCCTCACAACAGACGCATTACTGGAGTCACCCATGTATACTGACACCGCTTGACGGTCCTGTCAAACACTTACGTCGTATCTCCCAAACAGTGGAAAACAACCTGGAGTTGCTCCGCATCGTAGTGCGGCAGCTGGTAGATGAAGTAAGGACCGGCATTCACCGACCTCCCAATCCCAAGCGTCGCAATCAACACACGCGGATGAGGCTTAAAGTGCTCCTCAGGACGACTGCTGAACCATTCGGTTAGATCGCCCTTGACGGTCCGCCACACTCGATCCACCTCACAGTTCACATGGCAGTCAAAAATAGGTTCAGTCCCCCCCACGAGTACGGCCATCCCTCTTCCGAGGCGAGCACCATCAGCCTGGGACGTGCTGCACCGGACTGCTCCACACCGTCATCCTTTTCAACATTTCGGCCAACTGCGTTGTACGTCCATGACTGTGGTGGTTCCCCTTCCCTCACTTCCATTCCCGTCCCTTCGCCGTCAGGAACTTCCACCACATGATGGCTCCACCTCGCATCCTACAGAGACTCGTAGAATCCCCTGCATGAATTCCTTTCCACTCAACTGTAAATAGCCCACATTAATCGCCGAACCCACTCCACTCTTCCGCGAGTCGCAGCAGGCTGATCCACGTCGGTTTGGGGCTCTGGCCTCGCCCTCCTCTGACGATCTCCCTGCGGTACAGCAGACGCGAGACTCTTGGCATTGTCATTGTGTACACTCTTGCGCTTTCCAGACACTGTTTCTCCTTGTTTTCTTAGTTGGATTCGGTTAAAGCTAAAACTAACAAACAATCTAAAGGGGAATAATAATAAAAAATACGCACAAAATGACTAGCAGACACAAAAGGAGAGTCATCTACACAGTGTGACGGCACAGTTCGCGATACGCACCACATGCACGAGGACCGCCGCAACGACGGCAAGTGGGTGCAATCCACCCAGCACAGTGTTGGTGAGAGCAAACAATAATAACAACGTGGTGGGCACGGAGGGTTCGCTCACGCATTCCGCTCGCTGCGGTCCCACATCCGTGTGGCACCGCCGTCACCGCACACAATCCACAATAATACATGCGCGCATATCTTCCCTGACACACACAAACACACACAAAAGTGGGAAGGGGATTCGGTAAAGCAGCGGCCACACGCAGGGACCCCAAAATCATACACGCCACAACAGTGATGCATCATGGCAGCCTTCCAGGCAGAACAAAGAAAAATTGCACGTCTTATGGAATATCCCCGCAATTCGCACAGCACAAAAAAACCATGAAGCTCCCTTTCTCATTGCATTCACCATTCATATTCCCAATGCATAGCACCACAGATAATGCCCCTCCATGGTGAAAACAACTGCCTTGTTGTGGTGTCATCGCGCAGCCATCCGCCTGAGTGGGAACGGGAGGAAAATCAGGCGTCCGTCCGCCTGAAGGAAGAGGGACTCAGCCGCAGTGTACTCCATGAAGCAAACACTCCGCGGCCAGTGCCCGGTGTCGTGTGCGGACTCCGCGAAGAGGTTGTGGGCACGCCACTGTGCCACACGGTGTGACCCCCTCGAAACGCAACAGCAGACGTGTTCCCTTCCGGTCGCACTCGTGTCAGTGGCGGCATCCGCAGCCTCGCTGCGTGCTGGTGGCGTCGACTACGATGCTGCAGTGTGATAGAGGGTGCCCGGCACGAGCGGTGCTGCGTTGGTAGGGCAATGCGCTCCGCGGCAAGACGCCCAGCGCGACCCTTGACCGCGGCGCTCACGCACTTCCCTCCACCCGGCAACCGCACAGCCGCCGGCACATTGTCGCCGAAGCAGCTCACAAGTGACAGCGTCGCAGCATATCTCTCGAGAGAACACAGTGGCAGCCACACGCTGCGGCCATCGTGCCGACAAGTCCGACGCAAACGCCCACACACCCACAGCAGCAGACACGCAAAAAAGAAGATCTTCCACTCCATGCCACGTCCTCGTGCGTGATGGTGCGGCGCTTCAGAGCAATACCGCCACACGCAGCGCAACCTTCCCACAGGGGATGAGAGCCGCGGCGCACTCTCACTGCCTCCCCCTTCCTTCTCTTCATGTCCACGGAGTGACGCAGCTGCCAGCACCGACTGCAGGAGAAGCATCCAACTGCACCGCAACATGTACGCCGTGCATTTGTGTGTGCCTGCAGTCACGCAAAGGGGAAAAAAAGAGAAGAAAAAAAGAGAGCCACGCAAGTGAAGGGGCACGCACAAACACGCAGCAGAGGCGCAGGACGGAAAAAAAGGGAGGATGAAAGCCGCTGAGGCTCGAGATGGCACGGCAGCCCAACCAGCGGCAACCCACAATAATTTTCCCAAAATAAAAATAAGTTAGAAATTTTCTAAAGCCCTTTAAAAAAACTTGCACACCCATTAAAGAACTAAAAAAAAGAAAAATCTCATCGTGACGCGGCAAAAAAAAAGACTGCTTGTACATTATTCATGCAGAAGTAAAAATACATTTGCTTCGACCGCTCAGCCCTATTTTGTCTACACAACACCCAAATTTCATTGGGGCACTCAGTGCGGTTTTTTTCTTTCACTCCGCCATCGTCGTGGCGCTCAATGCCGAGTGCATTTATCATCGGCCGACGGAAACATTAAATACAATCCGCCATTATCAGAAAACTACACCATATAGGAGAAGACAAATACACGTATATATAATGAAAGAGAAGAAAAAAACATATAACCAGCGGTGCAGTCCCGGGAGGGGGAGCGCGCCTTTACACAACGACTTTCATGGGGGGAAGGGTATTCAAACCAAAAATAAAAATACATAAAATAAACGGTGCATCCACAAAAAAATTGGCAGTTACTTCGGAGGGTGCGTGGAGAGGCACATATGCTCACGCCGGTGGCAGGAAGTCCTCACTGCAATTTCTCAGTAAAGGGCCGCAATGCCCCACATCCCCAGCAGCATCAGCAGAAGCAGCGCCCGCGACACGCCCCCATGCATGGAGCCGTCACTGCTTCCTTTTTTATCTTCACCGTCACTGCTTCCTTTTTCATCTTTGGGTTTCCTGTCCTTGATTGCAGTCATCTCAGTGGAATTCAGTGGGCGGTTGTACAGAAAGACGTTCTTCACCGTCACAGGAAAGTTGTGCGTTTCGCACGCGCCAAAGCAAAAGCGCACAAGCTCAAGTGGTGTCTCACCTGTTAACATCGTCTCCTCTTCCCCCAGCAACTTACCATCAACGTACACAGAAGCCTTGTTGCCTTGCAGCATGAGTGCCACTTGGTATTCTTTCTTCGGCTCCCAAGTGCCACTTTTTGTTCTCTTGTCGTTGAATATAGTTACCCATTCTTTATCCGCGGTATACACGACTCCCATGGTAATCGGGGAATTGGTGTCCCCCAACAGCGCACCCAGTAGAGGAGCGTCCGCAGTCGGAGCCTCTTCGATGGTCACCGACGCCACAAGTGTGAAATCGTGGCTCAAAAATACATGGCGCACATTATTACCCTGAGTGTTCACAGACCATATTACCCCGGAGTCAGGCTCCGTCAATTGAAACCCATCCTTGACCTTCGTGGCGTTCGTCACCGTTGCATTCAGGCAAAGGTACTCGTCGTTCCACGTGTCGTCACTGGCCGATGCGTTGGACAAAACTGCCACCAGACCCACCGTGGGTATAGACAGGCTCGAGAAGAAAACGTCCTTTTGCGCCCAAGTGCTGAGGGTGGACTTGATTTCCTTCAGTTCCTCCGTCAGGCGGGAGAGTGAAATGACACGGCCTTCACCAGTGGCCCTCCGTTGTAAAAGATGCAAATTGCCATCCGAGTACAGCAGGCTGCTGGCGAACTCCCACTTCGCAGCCTCCTCCACGGCAACTGGTCCAAAATAAAACGAGCGGTTGTTGTCCGTCACCCAAAGGTAGAGCGCAGTGGCCCTTTGTTCCCCCGAGGCGTACCCTCTCTGAATGTACAGCATGACCTTCCTTCCCTCAATGGTCGCGGTGATGAGAGCCTCCACATGCAGGCTTACATCCGGAGAGACTTCTGGTTTTGACTTGGTCCACACGCCTGGAAGTGTCCCGATGGCCTCCGTCCACGTTGTCCCCATGTCCCGCGACTCGTACACCCTCTGGCTGCTCTCGCAGTCAACAATCATGAGAAGTGATCCCTCCCACTCGGTGATGCGGGGTTCAGTGCAGTTCGCAGGTGAAACGCCCGTTGAGAGCGACCATTTTTCACCGTTGTTCGTCGAGTAAATAATCATGGAGTAAACATATTCTGCTTCATTCCTCGCCATCAGAGGAAACACGAGCGTGCCATCCTCCATCAGAACACCTGAGCCACCAGAAGAAGCAAAATCCTTCAATCCAGCATTGGGTGTCTTTAAAGTAGTCTGGCTTAACGATGTGGGTGTGCCCCACGTGATCCATCCACTCGGCTCGCTCGCCGTAGGCTTCGTGACATCACCCACAACCAGTTTCAGATCCAGGCTGTCCCATTTCCAAATCCCATCACTCTGATTGAGTCTGTCATAGCTTGCCGCAAGAAGAAACACCTTATTACCCTTCGTTGTTGTTGTGGGGTTGATCACATCGCCCACACGATTCGTTCCATCCGTTGTATCAAGCACGGTGTGTGCCCTCCATGTAATTTCACTCACCTTTTCAACAAGAGTGGACCAATCCCACGAAGAGTCGATGTACTCCGCAACAACATCAGAAGAAAGTGGCTTAATTAATACATCACTGTCATATTGGGGATTTATTATGCCTCTGGCAAAAGCAGCAATTACTCCGCCAGCACTGACAAGAGAGGGTGAAACAAATGCATTCCGCTTCGTCCCTGGAGTACCTCCACCTTCCGGCAGAACCTGCGTCGTCTGCGGCACAAATAGATCGACCCATTGCAGCTCCTCAACACTTCTTAAATCACTGTTGCCATCATTCTCCGTTGCAGCTGTAGCTCCACAGGTGGCGCAGCACATCAACACGACGAGGAGGAGCAGCACCGCGGAAGTAAACACACGCCGGGACATGTTGGGCCTCTGCGGCTCACTCTCTCTTCCCTCCCTCCTCCTTCCGCTGGATCCGGTCACGCGGCAACGGTTGTGTGTGCGGGGTGCCTTCACTGCAGCAACGCGTGAGAGCATATGTGTGTGTGGGCGGTGTGTGTGTTGTTGGTCCTTTCAGAGCCTTACAATTTCGCAGTAGCGATTAGCGCTTGTTTGCTTGCTTTCCTAGCGTGTCTGTCCAAGAAGTGGAGGGAAAGGGAAAACAAGCCAAGTAAAGAGATGAGACAGCGAGCACCGCCACTCCGCACCGGCCATCGCGGGCGTCACGGCGGGCCGTCGGTGTGTGCGGGCCAGCCCTCACGCGGTGCAACACGCCACACCCAACAGGAAAGACAGACAGACAGACAGAGGGAGACGAATGGATGCCGTCAAGAGGCACTCACAATCAACACGGCCCGTGAGCATGCGGCCACTCCACGCAGGAACACAGGAGAAGAGGGTGAGGGGAAAAAAGCAAGAAGCAGCACAACACACACGGAAGAAACAAACACCAGTCTCGGGAAAAAGCACCGCCGCGGCCCTCGCCCTGGCCGGCAACTCCACACCAGCCCTCACACACACACAAACACCATCGCAGTGCCGTCAGTCTGCGGAAAAAAAGATTCGACCCTCCACACAACAAACGCACACACCGCCAGCAGTCATCCACCAATGGACGAAGAGGAGAAGAGACACACCGCCAGCGCCTCCAGTTCAATCCCACGGCCAACGAGACACGGCCACAGCCCCAAAGCCAGCAAACACAACGCACACGGAGCAAGCAATCACCCAAAGAGCCGCACGCAGAAGCGATCCCTTACCCATCCATGATGCGGCGCCACAGTCCACGCGGTCACACGGAGTGAGCCATTTCTCCAATAGAACTTATTCGTCGTCCATCCCTTGAAGATGCTTCTGTTAGTGATGGGCCTTCAAACACAATAGAAGAAAATGGACAATGCAGTAACGCCGTGACACCGCCAGCCACAATGATTCCCTCATACCGGGGCAATTCTCCAATTACGCCTCGTACCCACACACAATCAGCATACCATATAAAGATCACCCAATGTTTTTCACCAGAAGCCAAACAACCCCGCTCCCTCCCTAATTTCTTCGGTCACCGTTAAGTTCGATAGCGTTGGACATTTTGGCATCTGTGCGCGGTGCTGCCGCATGGGGCTGGTGCACCCGCACCGCATGCACATAAAAAAGTATCCAAAAATATATAACTCCCACAATATTTCTTTACCACAAATCAAAATTGCCCCTTTCCCCAATTTGTTTTCCTATTTCGACGGTTATTCCTCACTTCGGTCAGCTTCGTCTCTTCAAAAGTCTCTGGATGATATTGGCACTTGGTACTGGCGCACCTTTTCCTCCCAGAATGCCGCAATCTCTTTTTCCTCCTCGCTCACATTATTGGGATTTACGACATCACATCTCTGCCAGCCAGTCATCGGCGTGCTGTCTGCCTGCTGCACATAAATAATATCCCACGACATGTCTCGGGATAACTCCTCCCAACCATTAAAATATGCCGCCAGGCACTCAGTGAACTGCCGCACAGTGCTGGCGGTGGTGTGGCGCCCACCCGCCGTAGTCATCCGCAGCCCAACCACCGTCATTGGATTGGACTCCGAGAAAAAAAGGCGTCCACCAGCGGAAAGTTTGTGGCCCACGGTGTGTGCAGCACCCCGTACTTTATTTTACGGATCGTTTTTTCATATTCATTCGGCAGCAAACCCTCATCTCCCTTGGGATGCAATTCAGGGCCAACCTCAAGACGCAGGGCTTTGCTTGACGTCCTGTTGGCGGCTCAAACTCCGTGAGTTTCGTCGCTATTGCCTTGGCAAAGGCACTCTCCGTGAACGATTTCAAAGCAAGCCATCCAAAAAAATATTGGCAAAATATTATCCCTCGACGCCAACATCAGCCTCAAAAAGCCATTTTATTCTGCTACACTTGGGAGGCGTTCCAATGTCCGTTCCCCGAGGCAATCAGATATCGCTGCATTGAAAGGGGTCACACCGCCTGCGTATATTTCCCGAACAACTTTCACAGGCTTGTGGGACGGATCCTCAGAATACCATGGCGACTCACCTCCCCGTGAAAAGTACTCTTTCGCAGTTACCTCGTTGATCGATTGCAATGCAAACTCACCGCTCCACAGCGTCCATTAAACGCCTCCTCATCAAAGACGTGACGTGGAATCGGTCCCAAAAGATGCATGTGTTTTTGACCTCTTTCCAGCATTCCGCCTGTTTCTCTTTGGTCTCATCACGCGCCATCCAGGCGCACATCGCCTTCACATCCACCTCGTCGGGGCAATTCACGATGGTTCGCGCGGCTTGTGGTTGCTTCGTCCACTCATCATAGTTGGCTACCTTTGGGAATGACACCACAATCATGCCCCATCCCGAAGTAGGCGCAAAATGTCTCGGTGGCGGCGTTCCCTCCTTTGCCACACCGTAGATAATATACACATTCCTCCCATGCCCCCTCAAACTTCTCAACTCCGAGACGCACATTTCCTCATCGCTGCATCTTGTCACCGCTCTGGTGGTCTTGTCAGACACGCACGCACCTCGTCCACCAAAACAGTGAACTACCACTTGTAGTTTCTCGGCATCGCAGTGCAGCAGCTGGTAGAGGAGGTACGAGCCGGCAGCCATCGACTTCCCGATACCGGGCGTCCCAATCAACAGACGCTGCTTGGACTTACAGTCGGTCCCACCGTGAGGGCTGAGCCACGCGATTAGATCGTCCTTGACGATCTGCCACACTCGCTCCACCTCACAGTTTGCAAAAACGTCCTTAGGAAGATCCTGTATCGTATTCCACGAGTATGGCCATCCCTTGTCCGAGGCAAGCACCATCAACACGGGAGGTGCCGCACCGAATTGCTGCACAGCGTCATCCTCTTCGATAACGTCGTCAGCTTTCCTGTACGGCCATGACTGTTCTGGCTTCCCCTCATGCACCCCCATTCCCGTCCCCGTTTTCGTTCGCTCCACGCCGTCAGGAAGTTCCACCGCATGGCCCCGCCTCGCATTGCGCAGAGACTCGTAGCATCCCTCCAGTTTCTCCGGTGCGCTCGTCGTCGTTGGGTTCCTCGCCTCCTCGGCGGCTGCATCCAAAAACCTTTTATTAGCTCCATGAACACTTGCTTTTACCTCCGCAGAAGCTGCCAACCACCTCAGTAGATTGTACATGCCCTTATCGTAAAGCCTGTATACATCCTCTTCCATATCCATTTCATCCCTCACAGCCCTCTCCATCCTCTTGTAACGATCCGATGCCTGCATTTCGCCCAATAATTCCGCATCTTCAATGTATTTCTTGGGGTCCTTGAAAAACTCCTCCGGCAAGACATCCCGATTGGTGTCCACAACGCCCCTGCCGTCCAGTTCCCTCGTAAGAAAGTCGTTCAGCCTCATTTCATTGACGCGAACTCTTCCTTTAAACAGTACCTCTTCGATATTAGTGGAAATGGTAAATTTCATTTCCTGCGTTCCTCTCAGCCTTTCCCCTGCCTCCCGCCTCGCTTCTGTCAGTACCTGCGTGAGTACCCCGTTTGGTTTTCCCCTTGCAAGAGGAGTGATCGTATCCTTTTCCTTCATAGTCCCACGTTGCCCGAAAGAGAGCACACCTTCGTGAAGAGGCCTAGTAATGGCCCCCAGCGCCTGGTACGCAGTCAAGTTCAGAATTTCTTCAAGAAGCCGCTGGTCTTGTGCGTAATCATCCGGCTCCCGAACAAACACCTCCATCGTCACATTGTAGTCTTTCATCAACGGCCGCCCTGCCGCCAACATAATTCCAAAGGAAATCACTCAGCCTCATGTTGGTGCTGCTCATGGTCCACTGCGGCCACACTTTACTCCCCGCCACACGTCGAGCCGCAGCGTCGGAAACATCACAAGAGCCACGGCGAGGTGCCATCACAACACCCGTGCGGTGAAGTGCCCCACTCGCACCGCCCAAATGCGGCCAGCAGGTGCCGCTGGCCCCAAAGGACAGTCGCGGCTGTTTCGCCCCGCAGTCCCGATGGCGTTGGGCGTGGCACTCGCACGGCGGGGCGGTCGGTGCGCCATGCGGCCGCACTGCAACGCCTGTCGGTGAGGCAGTCAAGGCCCACCGCCCCCGCAGCAACACGAGGCATGCAACCAACCACAACACCGCCACATTATATCGTCCTTTTTTCTATTTTATTTTATTCGCGTTGTCCGTCTGTTTGCCCCATCACCGACAAAAAAAATAAGTGCACACCTTCACAAAAGGGAAGAAACAAAGAGAAAAGGAGGCACGATCCCACCGTCACGCCGCGGGCCAACACTCTCCTCCACCCACCACCATCGCCGCGCAGGGGACCGCAGTCACACCGCAGAGGAGGCACCACAATGTGCACCACACCACCGTGCAGTGAACGATGGGCGAGACGCGGCCATGCATCGCCCCGCTCCATTTTCCCATCACTCAAGTGTTGCGTGCCCGCACAAAGTGGCAAACACAATCAGAGTGCACACAAACCCAATCATCCCCCTCATTCGCTGAAGCACATTGTTCGCATGGAGTGACAGCATTTGAGGATACACCAGCAGTAGCTGGCTGCATGGAATTTCCCTGCCAACCCTGCGAAGAGAGACAACAACTCTGCGGAGTAAAGTGACAGCCCCGCGGTGCTGCCTGCGGTCCACATGGCAGGACAAATTCCACGCACGCATAGTTCCGGACACCTCGCTGTTTGAGTGCCCAACAGAGCGTAAAAAAATACGAGTCCAAGACGGCATTTAAGCACGTGAAAAGGTCGGCCTGTTTTGTTTGATGGTGTTGGCGAGCAGTCCCACACAATCCAACCAAAATGACACGCCGGAAAGGATGGCGTCAGTTAATAATAAAAATAATTGCGTCAATGCAAAAAGCTGAAATTTGAGTTTTACACCCGAATCCGGGGGCGACAGTGGCATCAGAGTGTGCATGTGCGCAGGGCCTTTCGTGGGACGGTGCTGCCCAATCCCGCCGTGCCCCGACACAAAAGGGCAACATCAAAAAATGGGAGCACACTCTCCAGAAAGGAGTGACGGTTGGGCACTCAACCC